TGAAGCCAGAAGGTCTCGGCGGCTATAGCGGTGGTGGCGGCGGCGGCGGTGGTGGCGGCGGCAGCAGCAGCGGCAGCAGCAGAGGGGGCGGTGGCCGAGGCGGTGGCGATCGCGGTAATCGAGGAGGTTTCAGGGGCGATCGAGGCGGACGTGGAGGCGACAGAGGTGGCCGCGGCGGCGGCGGTTTCCGAGGCGGAGATCGAGGCGGCCGCGGAGGTCGAGGTGGTCCTATGAGAGGGGGCGGCGGGTAGGTCCTCTTTTCATATTTTTTCCGCTTGCATACACAAGACCCTTTGTAAATTCTCTTTTATCTAAATATCGATTAATGACGTGCTAATTGCGCATTTCTTATTTCAGCCGTGGTGACAGGGATAGGGATCGCCAACGACCATATTAATTTCAATATTCATATGACGGTTAATTCATCGTTATTAAATAGCTTGTACACATTTTGTACACAGTTTCAATGCTTGTACATTTTGCTAAATGGAAATCATTTCACACACATATGTCTTACTATCTTTTTTTCTTTTTATATTCAAATCGAATATGCATGTATACCTTACATGTATACCTTACATGTATATCATATATATTATATATATATATATATACACACACACGCGCGCGCGCGCACGCACACGCACACACACACACACACACACAAATATCATTTAAAATCAAACTTTTAGTAGATGATAATAGAGAAAACTTTAAGTTCTGTAAATGTGACTGAATTGTTTATCATCTTGTATCTCCCATTTGATGTTTTTGCGAAATAAAGAGAGAAAATATTGGGAAAGTTTATTTATTGAAAGTTGAAAATATAATACAGTCAATTTATGTTATATATATCGTGTGTACAAATTGATGAAGAATCATAACTCAGAGGCACAACCAAATTAAATACGGCATACCGTCATCTCGTAAGACACAAGCCGTTTGTTTTTTTTTTTCTCTTCATATTGAACAAATTATATTTAACATTTTTCTTTCCTTTTATATGGTAAATATATTTATATAGCGTTGTATATCGCGATTACTAAAGAGATGTTACACATATATACGTGTATGACGTGTGTATCGGTATTTATATAATTTTTCGGTATGTATATGTACACAGATACCTAGGTATGGATAGATTACATGAAGACCTCTAGTTTATGGATTTACTTGAATGCGCCACAATCACCTGTTTCTTTCCGCTCAATCTCTACGTTTGCGTGAGTCCTTGGCCAATTCCTGAAATAATTAAAAAAAAAATAATATTACAAATATTTTCAAATTTCACATTTCCGTATATTGTCCATATATTTTTCTGACTATAAAACAATATAAGAAAATTCCATTTTTCAGAAACTTCATTAATAACAAAATATAAATCTGGATACATATCTGAATATTCCTTAAAAGATGTGATTTTTTTAGCACACATAATACAAAATGATTATAAAGTACGATCTAAAAAAGTATGAAAAACAATCTAAATTTTGTTGTACTTTATTTCTTTCTTATATAGCGCTAAAAATATCTGTCTTATTCTATATTTCTATTTTCATTTAATACTAAAATGCTCTTGCATTTTCTTAATCATTTAGCATCGATATAAATCTTGGAATATAAGAGCTAATAACGCGTTGTATTTATCTCTTCTTACATAATTTACCTGTAATTAAGCTACAGTTTTTGTTTAACATTATATTTTTTACGAAATTTCTTCTGGACGCTCACAAAAAAATAGCATGGATTATTTCAAAAGATATCAGCAAGAAAAACTGGTTGACACTGAAATTTATTGAATATTACCTTTTGCGTAAGTATCACAAGGAGGTGTCGGAAAACGCCTACGAAATCAATGAACAAGTCCAAGGAGTGCATGATAAAGTCCCTGCTACCCATGTGATGTTTCTCAATGATCAATTGCGTGTCATAAATAACGAAGCCGCAGATAACGAATAATCCCAAATATAAGTGCGCTTGGTAGATGAAAGTCGAGCGCAAGAACAAGTTGGCGAAGGAGAAGAGGATCATGATGTTCAGCATGCTCATCAAAGTGCCACCCAGATATAGCCAACGTCCGCGTTCAGCCAAAAGCGCGGAAATACTGAAGGAAACGAAAACCACTGTCGTACCTGTAATCATTAATATACAATATTGTAAAATCGTTGTATACGATACCGCATTAACAGAAGAGTGCACTTATGAAACAATATCTTTGTAAAAATTTTGTAACGTGTATTCAAAAATAATTTGATAATATTAATTTGGCGGTGTAAACTTAATATGGGTTAACTGCTTAATGCATCTTTTTATCTTGTTTTCAAAATGCTATATACATAATTTAAACTTTTTAGCCCAATATTTATTTTGTAAAGTTTGACTGATTTCATCAAATTCTATGTTATCTTAAGATAATTGTTATAACGCAGATAAAATTAATGATTCTTACTTACCAACTAATGCTGTTACCACTATACTCGGGTCTATGCTGACCACCAACTCCAATAAGGGGCCTAATCCTAGACCAGACAAGAATGCGAATCCCAACAGGTAACCAAGGCGCAATTTTTGATTCTTGCCATTGTCCGGTGTTGTCATTAACGCGACAAGAAGGCCCAGGGTACCGAGAGTTGTCAGCAGATTAGCCTGCAAGAGCTGTGTGTACATATGCACATAAGCTCCTGCAGCTGCCGATACAGTGGACAGAGACAAGCAACCGTAGACATTCTTCAAATGTTGCCTGACCGGTGCATTTCTGTAAAAACATTATATTATTGTTAAATTGTCTGTGTCGAAGAAGATTGAGAATTTTGTCTTGTACTCTACTAAAGTTTATATTGATATTGCATGAGTGATATCATATTAATCTATAGTTTTGCAGTACGACTGTATTTTTCATACATAATTTATGTGTAACTTATGATCCATCCAATTAAATTTTGAACAAAATAAAAATTTACATTTTGTCTGGTTACTTAATCAGGATTTCAAGATAGGAAGAAAAGATTCTTATTTCTATAAATAGTATGATGCAATTTTGTATTAATCTCTCCATCATTATCTAGATTGATACGTGTAATTAAATTGACTAAGAGAAATAATTTAAAGTACTTCATCTTTTTAAAGATATATCAAAATGCAAAAAAAACATGAGATAGAGATATCAGATTACATCGGTATCATCATATGTTTACAAGACAATAATATATCATAGAAAGGTAATTTCCAACACGAAGAAAGGCACAGATACTGATTATTCTAGAAAACAGAAACATTTTTACTATGTCATTTCCTCTTTTCTCTCCCCTTCTCTCCCCTAAAAGTTGATGCGTGAACTTTGAACTCGGAGGACATGTGCATAATGTTCACACATTGACAATTCTTCTTCTTCTTTTCCTTTGATTAAAGAAAGTTAAAAAAATAGATCTATAGATTTTAAAAAATTTATATAGGGTGCTCTCCTCATTAATTCTAATAACAGACGACATTGAGAAGTTTGAAATCGATTTTCCTGTAACGAAAGTGTCGTAACGAGGAAGGTCATTATTAGCTGTAAAAACGCTTTCAATATTATACAGGGTGTTCATTTACACATGCATAAATTACGCTGGTTGTCCACGATGAAACAAACGGATGTTCGATTTCAGAACACGTATCAAATCGTAAAAGTTGAAGGTCGCATATCGCGCGCGAATATATACGTGACACGTATTGTAAATTACAATAAACACTTTTAGCGAGGACGCAGAGGGGTTATAAGATAAAAACAGATGGATCAGCGAAAACTGCGTCACGAAAATAACGTAACAAGAAAGAGAGAGAGAAATGAGTGAGTGAGTGAGAGAGAGAGAGAGAGAGAGAAATATGAGACAGAGACAGCGAGGAATAAATACACTTGTGCATGGATATCTGATCGACGGATACTTTATCGCGGATCTCCTAGATTATACACATTAACAGCGCAATACTTACAATGTGTTGCTGAAGGAATTTATAAAACTGTTCAAGACCGCTGCCATAATTTCGTTGCCGCTCGGCTGCTTCTCACTTGCGTTCTAACTGCTTTCTGACGATCGACGTAAGCACACGTACTAGGAGACGCTCGCTTTCGACGCGATGACTGGCGGTATTCCGTCAGTTAATTCTATGCGCAGGGCGAAATTATCTCGGAACCAACGAATTATACGGACGTACGTAGCCGATACTCGTACGAGGACACGTCAGTATTATTTCTACGCGTAAAAACCAACTGACGGGACAGACGAGGATGGGAGAAAACGGACGTGTCCGATTGGTGCTGGTTAATGACGCTTCAACATTAGATGGCGACACCAAAGATCCCGAATGTGCTCGAATGTACGCAGTGTCTTGAGAGCACTGAAAAACATCGAATATCTTTTTTTATCACAGTTCGTACATAGGATCTTCCTTAATAACAATTATAAAAAGACACAATTGCACATCCTTGTACGTCAAGCTGCGAATTAAGATTCTATTGTTTAAAAGCCGCCTTTTCATATTTTCCTTTTAATATATTTTCCGGATGCCAAAGTTTCATGCAGAATATCGTAATTTTATCGTATGTGCGATGGATACGAGGAAAAGCAAAAAAATAAAAGGATTTTTTGGTTCCCAAATGTTGAAAGGGGACATTTTCAATTGATATGGGAATTGAAAGTCTTTTCGCTTTGTTACCCACGCGTACTTACACACCCACTTTAATGATAATGATTTTAACGCAGTGTTTAAAAATATTCGTAAGTCAAAGATGGCTGTTTTAAAAAATAAATTGCTTTCACAATATGCGACAAAATTTTCTGTATAAATGTGCAATTAGTTTACCCCCATACTTAAAAGTACCTATTTGGTTAATTAAATCATTGAAATAACATTAATTTTTCTAGGAGCATGATTAATATTAATGACATGTTATTACAAACTAAATAAAACAAAAATAAACTAAATAAAAAAAAACAATCCTATAATGTACGACAATAATAGTATAACAATATTTATGAATTTATGCGTTTCCTACAAAACTTTATCTTCATAATCGCATCCCACAACTATTATGAAAAACCTTTATGCCTCTCTGTCTTCTTGTCATCTTAACACTTTCGCGACAGTTGTACATTCGGCTCTGCTCAACGCTTGGAGCCGCTCTATTATATTGAACTGACGCAAAATCCGACACATTTCACATTACACGACAATATAATACAATAATGCAAAAAAAAAACAATAAACATAAAAATACGTGAGCAGCCACGAAAGTGTTAACATCGTACATTCTACCAAATTATCCAGTCTTTATATTTCTTCGACATATATATTCAAAAATTACGATACAACCGTAAACCGCTTAAAGTACATAATTTACACTACTGATTATTTTCAGATTGATGAAAAAGATCAATCGTATGTAGAATACACAACTTTTTGTTACACTGCAGAAACCATTCTTTCTATACACTCCACTATATAACGCTATTGATATAATTATATTCGATAGAATTTATTATATGAAACGGCTAATGAACGCTTTGAACACTATATAACTGTCATAATCACAATAATATCAAATCGCGTGATTAAGTGACATTTTTAAGATTGAGAGCACTGTATTCTTCCGACGTCACCACCTTCCGACTGACTATCACTATTTTCAGACGAATTATCATTCGAGGAGTCATCAAAGTGGTAATCATCGTCATCATCATCGTTGTCATCCTCATCTCGATTTGAATCGTCATGTTCATAAGGCGTATAAGGATTCTAGAATAAATACATAATAAAGAGATAAAAAAGAGAAACAAGAGCATTTTGACATTTTGATATGTAGTCCTATGATAATTTTACAGGACAATGATGAAAAGTAGGTGGGACTAGTACAGGCCCTGATGTTATTTAGAGCTATATAGATATCCTTTGTAACCAAGCAATTTAAGCTGCTCACCCTCATCACTTCTATATACCAGATCTTTGGGTTCTAAAAACATTTTGCCCAAAGATCTGTAAGATATATAATTCTAAATATAGAGTTGTAATCGATAAAAATTTTAATTAATATGAAAATATATAATAAAAATGACCATAATCTATATGTATTACTTACACGTACTCTCTCCCTGTGACGGATGTGTCTTAGCAAAATCCAAAGCAATTGACCATCAAATGTATCAGGCACATGTTCTTGCTCCCTGTTTCTCGCATTGGACTTGACGCACTTATGAAAAAGAAAGAGAGAGAAAAATTAATAAAAATAAAGTAATATGTGTAATATTTAATGTATAATTAATAACATATAACACCGTATCTTCTATCATATCCTACTTCCGCTTCAAAAACTAAACATAACAAAATATAAGATTTTAGCCAAATGTTTTTTATTTGCGTCATTCTATTCTTTTGTGGTAAAAGTAATAGTAATGGCTTATCTTATTTTCAAAATATGATATAAAAAGATACAAATTAAAAATATGATAAAATAATATACGCAAAAGAAAAATATGTATAAAAATAGCGAAAAAGACTCTCTATACATACATTCGCAAATGATTTCATCATTGGAGGTTCTGCGCAAGAAGGTGCCCATATTTTGACGTCATAATCCAATCCACTTGTCGCAAGAATGGGGATGTGCGGGTGTCCTTCTAAGCAATTTACCTAAAAAAATAAAAAAAAGAGGATTATTTTCCGTTTTTATATTGCTAAAGAAAGATTTGTACATTTATCTCATTTATGAAGAACTCACAACTCCTTGTTTATCTCCTGCCATCCATTGCACAACAGCTTCCGTATTTTTGTCCCAAATAAATATATTACCACAATCGGACCCAGATATAACATATTCGCTTTTGGGTCCAAAGAAATTAACGCCCTTTACTATAAGGCAGATAATAGATAAAATATTAAACTGATGTAAGATCTAAGATGTGTGTAAGATGTAATATATATATAAAACACAATTATTTAAAATACTGATTGATTAATTAGTAAATTTTAAAAAAGTTTAAAAAATGTTTAATTTGTGAGAAAAAAAATTCTCAGCATAAAAGTTTATTATAAAAATTTAGTCAAATTCTAGATTTCAATTTTGGAAACATGTTAAAAATAATTAAAGATATATTTGATTCGTATTAAGATACAAATCTCTCTCTTTATGATCATATTTCAGGGGTGCCCAATCAGTCGATTACGATCTACCGATCAATCGCGACATACTTTTTGATAGATCTTCTTCTCATTTCGATTTTTGTTTCGTTTTATTCTATTATAAAATTTATGTTTGTAATTTTGATATTTATTTTGTTCCTATCAATTTAAATTATGACACTTAGTGTGTCTCTATATGTTGATATGTTTGATAAACGTTGAAATCACATCCTAATTTTGTATTTTTTCCCCCGTAATGTGTACATAAATAGATCACGAGGTCGTTCCACTAAAAAAAAAAAAGTAGCTCGCATGTACAGAAAGATTGGGCAGCACTGTCATATTCCATGTGTGACATACCAGTTGCACTATTCCTATGGCCTTGATATCTATGAGCGTAATCTACACGTGATGACATTAATCTATCAAAAAGATATATGTCTTCGTCATTATACGATGCAAGAATTTCGGTTCCGTTATGATTATATACAGCGCATGTTACATGCGCGTTTTTATTCCCCGTCTAAAACAAACAGTATACATTAAGATTACTTGCAAATTTACCAATTAAAACTATTAATTTTGTTTTATTATTATTAAAGAACTAGTCAATCTTTTCGATAACAGAATTGTAATGCATATAACACAACATACCAGATGATCAGGGCATAATTTATAAAGCGGTGTTGAAACCTTTCGCCGATCGTACACTTTCACGTAATGAGAACGACCACCGACGCAGAATTCATTACTATTAAAAGGATTAGAATGTATACTATATAGTTGCACTTCTGACGATTCCTCTTTCACCACTAGCAATCTGTAGAAAAGAAAAAGATTTATTATAAAAAAATTAATATTGCACGAACATAAACTATTAAATGCAAGTATATATTTAATCTTTTTAATTGAGATACATAAGCTAGCACACTCGCTTGTTTGGTTTGCTCTCTCGGATATCTATGGAAAACACTCTTGCGTCCTCCCCAGCAGACAAAACTACATGCGGTGTTTCAGGATGCACAGCCAATTTATGCGATGGTCCGCGATGCGACGCCAATTTCTTTGTCGTATTATAATGAAGATCTAATAAACGTACTTGACCATCTCGAGCACAAGTAACCATAAGGTACTCCATATCTAACGGCAACCACTTAGCCTAAACATATGTGATTAAGTAAAATAAAAAAAAAACTGATTAAAGAGTGCAATAAATAAATACAATATAAAAATATTCATAATAATTAAGACAACAAAAAAACGAACATTATAATACTTTATGAATCAATACATACTTGAAACATGTTGCTCGTGTGACCACTTAGACACCCATAGCACTTCTTTCCTATAGCCCAATCCCAAATAACGATTCTTAAATCGTCAGAGGCACTCACTAACAAATTTCCCTCCCGATTAAAGTTTAAAGCGTTCACACAACCCTGCAAATAAAAACCCAGTAATGATTACAATATACATCATATAAGAATCAAATATAACTCAATAAAACATTTACAAAATAAAAAATATACCTGATGCTCGTTAAGATTGTACATAAGTTTGAGTCGCTCTACAGCATGTAAAGAACCGTAAAATCTTCTTTGAAACAATGGATTGCTACCTATTTGGCGATTTATAACTTCTGGTACTATATACCAATTAGGTGGTGGTTTCTTTATCTTTAGGCAATGAGGTATTTTTTCTTCCTTGTCCTCGTATTCCTCTTCTACATCCTCCCATTCGTCCTCGTTAGTTGTTCTCCATTCATTCAAATTGCCTGTCGAAAATCCAGCATTCTTACAATTACATTTTATCAAATACACAGTGTTAAATACCTCTTTCATTTGTGTATCGAGTGGGTCTATCATTGGGTGTTTCTGATCCTTCTCTGTGAGTCTCTGAACTTCTATTTGATTCAATATGAGGAGATTCATTTCCAGTACTGGAAGATGCAACATTTTCTAAAATAATAATAATTATTCATATATATATATGTGTGTCTAATAATTATTGATGTTTCCTAAAGTGCATTCAAAAGTATAAATAACAAAGCATACAATCGTTCTGAAATAATTTCAAAATTTTATGCATAACAAAATAAGCAATTACCTTCATCATCATCAAGTATAGCAGGTTCTCTTGTTACTTCATTAAATAAAACATTTTCATAATTGTCTTCATTATCACTCATTGCGTTTCGCCTTTTACGATAATTTCGTTGTTTTACTTTTGATTTCATTCTTTGAAATGTTACTGTATCATCGCTAACACTCCCAATAGCAGTATCAGGTGTACTTTTATTTAACTTCTGACGTTTATTTGAATCTTCATCTGAACTGTCATCTGATTTTTCCATTGATATCCCACTGTCGGGATGTACCTGACCTTTGGAAATACTTCTTTTGATTTTGTTCTGATCTGAATGTAATATATTTGATTCGTTAATATTAGCAGTAGATGGACTATTGTCTTGAGAAGTAGTTGCTTCTGATGTATCAACCGAATTGGTGGCAGTACGCGCAATTTCTTTTGATATTTCCTTAGTATCATAACATTTATCAGTTCTTATCTCAATCTCGTTTTCCATAGAAAGTTCCATAGCTTCGTGTACTTGTTCGTTTTGCATAGTTTTACAGGTAGAATTGTTGTCAAGTTCCATTGTATGATTGGCGCTTTTTGAAGAACTTTCAAACATACTACTAGAACTATTTACATTGTCCAAGATACTTGCATCTTCCAAAGAATTTGATTGTACTTTTCTAGATTTTTTGCTCTGAAAATCATTTGTGCTAACACATTTCACTTCAGAATCATTATTGATATCATGTGTTTTAGCTTCAATATCCATAGTTTTAAATGTCAGATTACTTTTTTATTTATACAGAGCAGCAATAGTCATATCTTCAGAGAAATAAAATACCAACAATTATATTGACTATGACATGTTTAAAATGAATCCCTGAGAAATAATATATATGAGTTAACTTGTGTATTTTATAAACATTTAATTCTTATTATCTAATACCCTTTTTTTGTAAAGAAAATGTATATCACTTTGAATAATACTCTGAGAAAAGGATTTATTTTTTATCATTATCTGATCAATAGCTAATTTTGGTGAATATTTCTTTTTCCAAATTTGAGAAAAATTTTAATATAACTTTGTAAAAGAAACATATTATCACAAGAAATCAATGTGTAACATAAGATATATATGCGATTCGTGTATCATTGCTAATTCAGGCCATTGCTCGTGATACAAACTTGTCATTAGCAGACGAAGGAAGATGTTACAAACTATGTTGTAGAGATTGACTGCAAGAGTTAAGATTACAATGATCACAATACTTAATGATGCCACGAATATCGACACAATTACGATGCATTACATAAATTTGCTATTCGCGTGCCAATTTATTTTTTTTTATTTTTTTTCCCAAATAAAGTTGCTAAAATGGCCAGCACGTATGTAACGTATGTATATACATACTTTATCTGAAACTGGCTGCAGAGCAATTCGTGGGATGTGTGTTCCACAACGCAAACGATGACGAATCCGAGATGAAATATAGACGAGTCGCATGGATTCGCACTATCAATGGTACTCACCCCGAAACTTTCACTTTAACGAAATGCGACATCCGTATTTCGTTCCTATTTACAACACCGCTCCAATACGATCGATACGATCACGGTTTAATACAATAACACAGCTGCTTGCCTACAGTTTAACTGCCTTTGACTGCCTTTGACACAGTATGTACACTAGATGTCATTAATGCTTTTACTTCCGGATTAGAATTGCAATACCGAGTCGTCGGTTTATAATTAACAATAATTGATATAAATATTGTAGTAACTTCTGGTGAATTATATTAATAATAATAATATCATAAAAAGAATTATTATAAGATGTACAGCTGAATGTGCGAACAACAATAATTATTAATATAAAATTATACGAAAAAAAGAGCATTTTAAAAATTCGCGCCGGTTGCGTCACTTCTTGTTAAATTGTATTCTAACCATAATATTATGCTAATCTATTATCAGTGTATAAGTACTTCAGATTTTCAGATCCGAACAACCTCTTGTCGAAATATATTAGAATATACATTTCTAATGTACATATTATGTACATATGTAACATGTTCTTGACAATAAAAACTTTTATCCGTATTTTCAGACGAGCAAAGAATTAAAAATTTATTTCATTAAATAATTATATTGAATAAAATTCGTACCAATTATTTCTCTTTTAATGCATTAAAACATTAATATTTTTCTCGATTTTAACGTTAATGATATTGTCTTCGATTTAAACAATCATTTCAAACAAAATATATAAAACCAGTGAGAAAAGAGCATTTTCTTCAATCATGATAAATTTTTGATACTCTAAAACAGGTGTAGTATAAGAATGGACACTGTACTCAATGGATTTATTTTCAGATTTATTTTGTAAAGGACAATATATTTATACAGGATAAGTTACGCAATACTACTGGCATTAGAGGCAATTCTTGGCCAAAGATCCGCGCACTCTTTTGCAACTGGTCCTGTAATAGCTGAGCCTTTCATCTCGCCCTTGTTATTGACGATAACTCCTGCATTATCCTCAAAATATATAAATGTACCATCCTTCCTACGAAATGGTTTCCTTTGCCGTATAACCACGGCAGGCATCACTGTAATGTATATATACATAAATATGTTATATGAAATTCATGGAACAAATAGCTAACATTTTAATTGGAAAAAAGATAAAAAAGAGAAAAAGAACACAAGAAAGAAAAAAAGAAAACATAAATGCAGTTAATTACCCTTTTTCCTGAGTTCAGGTTTTCCCTTCTTAACAGTCGCTACAATCATGTCACCAGATCCCGCTGCTGGAAGGCGGTTCAACCGGCCCTTAATTCCTTGGACTGCAATTACATACAAGTTCTTCGCTCCTATAAAAAAATATTATAGAAAACATGTTACCTGTGATAACAAATAAAAAAAAGTTAGCTCAAATTAAAAGCCATATCTAAATCTTAGATTTACAACCATAAGTTATATCTTTTAATAACAAAATTATATTAATTATTAACTTATATTATTTGTATGTGACATTACATGTGATTTGAATATTTTTTACAACACTAAAACAAAAAAATTTATACAAATAATTTCAGTAAAATCAGTTAGAATATAAGGTTCCGATGATTGATAAATCAAATAAAATCAATAAGGAGCGTAAAGAGTCACAATGCTAGATCTTCGTGCAAAGCTTATGATATATTCGTTAAAAATGTTTACAAACATTTCAACCTGCCATCAGGCCTTCTTCAATGTACAATATAAGAAACAATAAAATATAAAATTTGCTCGTAATGATTAAATAAATTAAATGATGTGGAAGACGCGTATTTGCAATCCTTTTTCGACCATATTGTTGTTCGTTAATAAATTAGATAGAATTGTATTAATTACATGATAGAGAAGCGCTCGTCCAAGTAGAAGAACCGAGGTGGAAAAGTTAAGACCAGATGTCTTTATATGTTGAACTTAAATATCTTAGTGTCAGTAATTTCAGTAAAGTTTTATAGTTACATTTATATTGATGCCATCAGAATAATATCATAAATAGTAAATTTTTTTTTGTTTCTTCAAAAACCTAGTTTCACCAATGAATATGTTGGAGTTTATAATCTACCTAAATTATTTAATGAAGAGACACAAAGAACAACGAGATAGTTTTAAAATGTTCGTATTTGACAATAGTAATAATCAGCCATGTGTTCGATTTTTGCATGAATGCGTAGTTACTTTTTGAGGTTAAGTATTACGAAAAAAATATTTTCAGACGGACTTACCAGTATTATCAGCGCAATTAATAACTGCACCAACCGGTAGACCCAAAGATATCCTAAATTTGGCTCCGGCCGATCCACCACGTCCTTAAAAAAAATAATAGTATTAACAATAGTACAGTATCCTTACTGTTTTCAGAATAACTCTTTTCGTATTTGTCGCTAATGAATAACGTCTTATATTATCACATAGGCCAACCATATTTTTATTTTTTCCTTGTTTCGTTTGAAATGGATGCATTGTCCCGACATTAATTTCTTTAGATTTTTCTCGTGTTAGAAAACGGACTCACCTCTTTTCGACATCTTGATAGTTTCAAAGAGAAGGATCAAAAGAACCAAGTATGCCAACAGTACTGAACAGCACTTCAGCACAATGTGGCCAATGTAGAAAAATTGTAGGAAACAAACTTGATAAATTTGGGCAAATTTACACTGCGTTCGAACAAATTTCGTTATCCAATAAAAAATGCATATGAAATATTTCTAGGAAACATAATTTCCTATTGGATGTTAAATGTCATATTAGAACTGTGTTTCGAAATTCACTGCCAGTGCTAAAAATCTATAGTTTATGTCACGTATATTGTAGATTTTCAGTACTGGCAGTGAATTTCGGAACGCAGCCCAAAATACAGGATGACAACCGCATTCAATTTTTATGATGCACGATGCAAAGAATTCAAAAATATTTAAGTACGATAAAACAAAATTATTAATGTATTAATTTAATTATTTAATAAACGAGCACGACACGCAAGTGATATAAAACTCGATCTTTGAAGTATATACAAGTTTTTTGAGAAGATTGATCGACAGATATAAAAACGAGAAGAATGAAGTGAAACAGCAGTCTTATTGAACAGACATAAGAAAAAGGAGCAAATTGGTATTGGAAAAAAAACCCTTATTTAATTTGGGTTGAAGACATTTAATATTCTTTCGATATAAAAAGAAATCTTAATTATTAAAAATAAATTTTACGAGAACTAATCTACACAGAACCTGAAGAATTGAAAGATAAGTCACAATACCAAGTGTTCATTATTGTACAAACAGAAGAATTTTTTAATTATTTAAATTAAGCAATAATGGCTAAAATATTATCTTTACTAAAAACGATACGAAATAATTGGAAGAAATCTATGTTAGGAGCCGCAGCTTTCTCGTATGGAATTTCATACTGCAAACAAACTTACGAGTAAGAAATCATGGGGAACATAACCTTTTTTTCTCTGCCTGTTTAATTTGTATACATATATTCATAACAGTAATATTTTGTACATTGTTTGTAACAAATATATATATATATATATATAAAATATGTTATATTTTGCAAAATATAATGTTTATATATCTTTACATAAAGTATTTAAATATAGTTATTATCTTACATCACACTTTGTATCATTTTTAGGACTGAACAATTAATGCGTCAGTGTTGCGAAGATGTAGCTAAGTATGGAGATGCCTCTTGTTCTACAAATGTCAAGCCTCGTCATGTAACTGTTATTTTAAATCCAGCAGCTAAGAAAAGGTTATTAAAACAACTTTTATGCTAGTGTAAAAACTTCTACTGTATTAAAATTTTGGTACTTGTTTCTTTTTTGTTTTCATATAGAAAGGCCAAGAAGTTGTTTGAGAAATATTGTGAGCCTTTATTGCATTTAGCTGGTATTTCAGTGACTATTATTGACACACAATCAGGAAGTCATACACGTGGTATAATAACTAATATGGAAAGGCCCACAGATGCTATTATTGTAGCAGGAGGAGATGGTACCTTGTCAGATGTTATAACTGGCTTAATGAGAAAGTATGAGCATAATCTTTATTCAGTTAAACAATGTCCTGTTGGTGTTTTGCCATTGGGAAGCACAAATACAGTTGCAAGTATATTTTATCAAGGATATGAAGATCTAGCTGACATACATCATATGATTGATGCAACAATGGCAATTATTAAGAATAACTTTAAATCAATAGATGCCATTGAAATTAAATTATTGAATGTATGTACCTTCTCACTTGCTTAGCACGATCATTGCAATGAGATACAAATTATAGACATATCTTAATTTAAGAACGATCCAGAAAGTCCTATAAGGCCAGTTTATGCTGTAGGAGGCATTGAATGGGGAGCTTGGAGTGATACGCACGCACGTATTGATAAATACTGGTACTGGGGTTTCTTACGCAAGTAAATCTTAATTTTTTATTTATGAGATTTTTTTATGTTTATGCATATATTTTATCTCATTACTTATTTTCAAATCTAGATATGCAGCTTATGTATTCTGTGGTTATAAATCAGATCTGACTTGGAAATGCAATGCAGTGATGAAGTATACAAATCCTTGTAAAGGATGCTCACGTTGTTATTTTGAACAATTGGCTTACAGTCAATCGAATTTGAATAGAAGGTGGTGGCATGCATTTTTGCCAAAGAGGCAAACATTTGCTTCTGGTAAAAAGAAATTATTTTCAGAGATTTAATAGATATTAAATTATTTATATATAAATATGATAAAATCAAGTAGTGAGTTTTCCATATAAATAAAAATAAGAAAAGAGTACATATACAGATATTATATACAAATACATATATTATATATACTATGTACATATAATTTTAATAGATTTATCATATATACGTAATATTATAGCACACATAACACTATTAAAGTGCATTTTAGATAACCACATCGATTATAGTAAAGTAGTGAATGAAAACTGTGGCACATTTTATGAGATACCTGTTTCAACAACAGAGTTGCGTATAAAGACAGAAAATGTAAAGAATATATCAGTTCAATCAACGCCTTCGTTAAAGATAGCTCTAGGTAATGACAAAATTAGATAATTACTCATGTCAATATTTGAAATGTACAAATAACAATAGAAATATATATTTTATATTAATAAGGCCCGGAAAGCATTAGCTATACAACATTTGTTGAAAAAGGATGGAAACAAGAAATGGATAACGAGCTGCCGGTAAATTCAATATTGGATGTAAAGGATATTGAATTATATCCTACGGAAGTAAGAGAAATTATAAATATTAGTAACATGATTTTTATATATGCTCTATATATGAACAAAAAATGCATAAAGATTAAAGATTTTAATTATATTTATAATTTTATTTTAGACAAATGAAGATCGGATGTTTTATATTGATCATGAAGAATACGAAGTGAAGCCAATTCAAATCAGATTACTGCCACAATCTGTAACAATATTTTATCCTGAAACAAACAGTTAACATGTATCTAATATATAATACTTAAAGATAATTCAAAAGTATCTCACAGCATTTAACATTCGTACCATCTTCAAATTAATTAAAAATGACAAATTATAAAGCAATCTTGATAACCTAAATGTTATGTAAAAAAATTATTGAATTTAAAATACATATTTTCTATAAAAAAAATAATTTATTGTCACGTACAAAAAAATATTACAACACTTGTCATTAATAATATAGTACATTTTTAGTCTAATATAGTGGCTTTTTATAATTCGCAGCCTTATAATGGCTTTTTAGTATAACATTTATACTAGAAGTTTGCGTCTGTGATCCTATTTATTTTATAACAGATATAATCAGATTGTCTATCCTTAAAATACTAATCTTAGAAAGTGCGTATAGTACATTATTGCAAGTATCAAACTTTAACTTCTCTTTTTAAGCTATGTATCATCTTTTGTAAATCACAATAAAAATCTTATTATTTTATAAACTACTCTCCTTCGGTAAACGCACTATTATTGGAAAGTTTCGAGACACTGTTCAAATAAAAGTTTTATATATTAGCGACCGGGATTTTAGAATTCTGCCTTTTAAGCAACACTACAAGATAAAAGTGAACGAGAGTTTAAGATTCCGTGTGTTTTCATTGCCATTATTCACACACACGCGCGCTCACACACACATATACTGGCGGATCCTAAAAAAGGAGTAAGGT